CCTCTGACCCTCCTGACCCTCCCCCCTCTCATGCTCTCTCTCTCTCAGTCTCTCTGTCTCAAATAAATAAATAAAATCTTTAAAAAAAAAAAAAAAGAATGAGTAAATAACATAGCTGAGCAGATACACATAGGAGGCAGAAAGAAGAGCCAAATGATACTGACTTGTAGGAACATCAGGCAGACGATGACATTAATGGGGACTGTGACAGGGCAGGGGAGGGTGTGGCCTCTCTATATAAGAGATTTAGGATTGTTAGTTGATGCTAAGCACTGCAAACTGAGCCTGAAGTGTAACTTCATGACTCAAAAAGTGAATGCAATTTTAGGCATCATTAACAAAAGTATAATTTCCAAAATGCACTCATCAAATTACCCCATATATTTAAGAACCTGTTTGTACTACCAGTAATCAAAGAATATAGGCAGCACTGTTTGGCAGGTTTGAAGTGAGTCAGACCTAAGTTCCAACCTGCATTCTCAAGTTTACACACGCCATGTAACTTTAGGAAATACAGCTTCTAGAACCTTCAACATCACTGATGGGGGACTGGACCAGCACTGCTGTAAGGGTTAGTGATCACCAGGGATAATACTTAGCATATGCTGGCGTACCATAGGCGCTCAAGAAATAGCTAATGCCTACAGAGCACTGTGTGAAATTCTAGCTCATCTAATCCTCAGAACGGTTCGATAACCAGAAGATGGTAATAGGTAAATGCAAATTATCACAAGAATGGGACTAAAACTGTAACAAATGAAACAGTCAATGATGACAGACTGCAATATTAGCAGTACTACCATTTACTATTAGTAGGAACAGAAAATGGTGCAACTCTTCTGCAAAGCAATCGGACAACACGTAACAGAGGACGTTTTCAAAGTTCATATATGATGGTCCCACTCTATTTGGGAAAGGAAAGGATTCAGAAAGTGCCTATGGGTAGAAATGGGAGTGATCTGTTGACTGACTGGTGGGCATCTCCTTTATGTGCATGCTTATCACCAGAAAAGCAAAGCATCTCCAAGAATAGAAGACTTTCTTTTTTATTTTTGCCAGTTAGTGATTTCCATAAATATCCCTTTGTCCACCCAAACCTGGATGTTCCTGAGAACTCCTAAAGCAGAAACTGTGGCCCACTTCCCCATTCAGCTGCTCACATTTAAGTGGAAGCACACTGCCCAGGGAAGCAGACACTCCTAATGACCCAAGTATTTCTTAAGATTAATAAAGGAATGTGGAATAGAAGAATATAAATTCCTTCAGGTTGGGAGGTCCCAAATCCAGAGCAATTCAGGGTGTGCCAGGAATTGCCACCACAAAGAGAAGAATGAAGGTCAAAACATTTCATTTCTTCTAAGTCTGCAGTATGCTGCCCTTTGAGTTCATTGCAACTCAAGACCCAAGAGAAAGTGTTCTTGTTAGAAGTCTACCAACGATGGACACTTACCTAAAATGAGATGAAGTTTGGTTTCTGTCTGGAAAGCATAGTGCAAGGTCACCAAGAACGGTGACTGCCTGATGTGCTCCAGGACTTGCCGCTCCGTCCTTGTGTGCTCTGTGGTTTTGGCCTTTTGCACTATTGTGGCCTTTTTCAAGACTTTCATGGCGTACAGCTTGCCAGCGTCATGACCGCTGATTTTACGAACCAGAAATACTTTTCCATAAGCTGAAAATGAGAAGAAAAAATAAAAACAATTAAAATACCACACACAATGGCAATTCATTGGAAGTTGCAAGTTACAACGCACAACAAACAAACATTCTTTGTTTGTTGTTCATTGCTGTTTCAAATAGTTCTTTCATAGGGGCACCTGGGTGGCTCAGTTGGTTGAGTGTCTGCCTTCGGCTCAGGTCATGATCCCAGGGTCCTGGGATGGGGCTCCATGTCGGGCTCCTGCTTCTCCCTCTTTGTCCCCCCACCCAGCTCGTGCTCTCTCTCCCTCAAATAAATAAAATCTTTAAAAAAAAAAAAAGAAAGAAAATAGAGGTGCGTGTGGTGGGCTCATTCAGTACAGCATGCAGCTCTTGATCTTGGGGTTGTGAGTTTGGGCCCCACGTTGGGTGCAGAGCTAACTTAAAAATAAAATCTTTAAAAAAAATCAAAAATAGAAGTACCACATGATCCAACAACTCTACTTCTGGGTATTTACCTGAAGAAAACGGAAACACTGACTCAAGAAGATACATGCACCCCCATGTTCACTGCAGCGTTATTTACAATAGCCAAGATATAGAAACAACCTAAGTGTCCATCAACGATGAATGGATAAAGAAAATGTGGTACGTATATACACAATGGAGTATTATTCAGTCATAAAAAAGAATGAAATCCTGTCATTTGTGACAACATGGATGGATCCTTGAGGGCACTACACTAAGTGAAATTAATAAGACAAAGACGAATATCATATGATCTTACTTATATGTGGAATCTCTAAAAAGAAACAAAAAACAAACAAACAAACCAAGCTAATAAGTATAGAGAACAACAGTTAGGTGGTTGGCCAGAGACAGAGGTGGGGGGAGGTAGGCAACATGGGTGAAGCGAGTCAAAAGGTACAAACTTTCAGTTATAAGGTAAGTAAGTCAGAAAAAAAATAAGTATGTCATGAAGATGTAATGTACAGCATGGCAACTATAGTTAATAACACTGTATTGCATATTTGAAACTAAGAGGTTAAATCTTCAAAGTTCTCATCACAACAACAAAATTCTGTAACTATGTGTGATGAGGGACATTAATCAGATTTACTAGATTTACTTAATCATTTTGCAATATATACAAATATCAAATCATTACATTATATACCTAAGACTAATATAATGCTGTATGTCTATTATACCTTAATTAAAAAAAAACAAACCAGTGAAGTCTATTTCTCTACCACTGAATCTGGGCTGGTCTTGTGTTAGAGGCGAGACTCTAGGAGTTCCAGAGCCTAGCCTTGGGAGGCCTTGCACCCTCTACCTTTGCCCTCTTGGCAGCCTTTCATGAGCTTTCCTGAGGCTGCCATGCTATGAAGAAGCTGACCTACTGCACTGGAGGATGAGAGGTGCCCCAGACAACAGCCAACACCAACTTTCAGACATGAGAACAAAACCATCTTGGCACTTCAAGCCCAGCCAACTCTCCAGCTCGCTGAGCACCGCATGAGCAAGGCCAGGCCAAACCAGCAGAGATCCGCCCAGCCAACCCACAAAATTATGAGAAAATAAATGATTGTTTTAAGCAACTAAACTGTAGAGTGGTTTATTATGAGCAATAAATAACTGGTACCACTGGGTATTAAATGAAATGAAAGTTTATTAACCAGGAAAGGCAGACATCATCAACTGAAAAAAAAAAACACTGGTTACAAACTGTAGGTACCAGACAACCTCATTTGATAAAACGTTACATGCAGGCAGACACACGAGCTAAAAGATCCAGAAGGATATATACTAAGTAATAACCAATTGCTACATAATGAGGTAAACTCTGGGTAGTGAAAATGTTTTTGTTTTTGCTTTTCCATATTTTGCATATATGTGCTTTTGTAGTAATAAATAGTTTTAAAAAATATCTTTTTTAAAAAGATCTATAATGTTTACTTATTCTTCAGACAAAAAGGTCAGCTGGGTCCCTGAAGAGCTCCACATGAAAATTCTTGCTATTAACCTCAAATAGTACACAAAACTGGATAAAGTCAGTTAATCAATAAACTTTAGGGATAGTTATGGGCTGAATTGCGCCCCCACCCCAGCCCCAAATTAATATATTGAAGCCCTAACCCCCAGTACCTCAGAATGTGACTGTATATGAAGACTGGGTCTTTAAAGGTAATTAAGTTACTTTTATAAAATGAGGTCATCAGGGTGGGCCCTAATCCAGTCTGACTGGTATCCTTCTTAGAGGATGACTGAACTCAAAAAGCCCCACTGGGGTGTGATGCACAGAGGGAGGGCCATGTGAAGAGGCAGCAAGAGGGAGGCCATGTGCCAGCCAGGGAGAGAGGCCTGGAGCATGTACTTCCTTACGGCCCTCAGAGGAAACCAACACTGCCGGCCCCTCAATCGGGGCCTTCCAGCCACCAGAACCGTGAGGAAATAAATGTTGTTTCAGCCCCCAGTGTGTGGTATTTTGTTATGGCAAAATAAAGGCTACGTGTACAGCACGGTATTTGGAAAACTGACCTACTACGCATCCTAAGCACTGCAAACAGAACCATAAAGAGAGTTTATAATAAAGTCTTGTTCTAAGATTCTGAAAAGTTTTGTCTTTAAAGTCAAATAACAACTATAAACACGCACAAAGAGAAATTATGTTAAATATGAGAGAAAGCAGAGGGCATGCTTTCCAAGTGCACTGCCTCACTCATGAGGGAGCCGAGGTGCTATTCTAGTCCACATTCTACTCTTGAGCTGGTGTGAGAAACCAGTTTTCCTGTTTTTTTCTGCATTTGTTTATTTATGGGCCACCAACAAAGAGCAAAATTAATGGAGAACCAACAGCTAAAAAGCAACCCTACTAAACATTATTGTTTTTTTAATCCAATACAAAATATTCCATTCCTCTACTTTGAAATTAAAAACATGGTTACAAAAACTACACTATTTACAATAAGCAGTAAAAACAAACAAAAAAAGATTGAGTACAGTTATGATGAGAGAATTTGAAGAAGAGCGAGGAGAGGGCAGAGAAGAGCTGCCATGTGATGGGGTGGTCTAGGAGGATGCATTCTTGTTACTTCTGGCTTATATCCCACTTGTATAATCTTAGGCACATGATTTAACTTTTATGAGCTGGTTCACTGTAAAGGGAGAAGCTTAAACAAGGTAATTATTCCTCAACCAGTCTTTATGGACTTCCTAAAGCTTCCCTGGAAATTCTTATAGGGCAGGGACAGAAATAAACTGGTAGGGCTTGGTGCCCTTGAGCTTAGATTCAGGTAGTGGTATTCATTTCTGTTTGTTTTCCATTTGAACGTTTGTGTTTTCACTTGGGGTAAGAGTTCTGCTGCTGGAATAGTTGAAACCATTGTATCAAAATGCTCTGTCCCCTGACAACTAGGTAAAAATACGCCAGGAATACATATTTAAGAATGAGTAAATAGGGCGCCTGGGTGGCTCAGCTGGTTAAGCGACTGCCTTCGGCTCAGGTCATGATCCTGGAGTCCCTGGATCGAGTCCCGCATCAGGCTCCCTGC